GATAGAAAGGCTTCTACACATCTATTGGCGATACTGAGGGTCCTTTGTGAGTCAGTCCACATCACACTTTTATGACCCAATTGACCTTGATGATAAACCGATTCGGTCATCAGTTTACAACTTTTGCTGCGGCCCACAATAATGCAACTTGGCAAGCTGCCACACTGACGAATGCGACTCTTCCTCACTTTGGAGGCTACAAGACAGGTGCACACCTCCTTCGCCTTGCACGGGCTTTCGAACCGAAAACACAAATGATGGGGCAGAGAGAGAGAGAGGGAGAGAAAGACAAATTTCTTTGAAGTCGCGTTCAAGTTAAATCTCACTTTTAGTGTCAAGATAATCAAGAATCCACACGGACACACGCGTTTACAGACAAGCATGTAAAATTTGCAAATCCTGAGGGTGTTACAGTGAAAGAGAAGCTCGTGTGCAGGGCTGTCATTATCACAGGAGGAAAGCAAGATGGAAAGATAGGGAGTGAGGGGTGAAATTGTCATCGCGTAATCATCGAGAATTCGTCTTCAGCACCTCCTCAGACGGCCATTCCTTTAGGATGTCAGAGGCAGGCACTCGAACCGTTGTTCCTACCTCCCCATTGATGTGGGCATTGGAGGAGGTGATGCTCTGCAGCTCACCCTCCTTCTGTCGACAGGGATCGTACCGATCAAGGAATTGGCGGAGGGTCAACCACCCACCTCCCACACGCACCATCACGTGAGCGTGGAATCGGCGTATATAGTAAATCCTCGAGCCCATCTGGTAGCGACCCTCATCCAGACGAATCAGTCGGTTTCGAGCACAGCAAGTGCAGTGAGCTGTTTGTTTTCGCACCTACAAGGAAACGATGCATGTCACACCATCCCCCGTCTCCCTGCACACATCAGTTTGCCACGCAAAACGATTCTACAATTCATTCCATTTCAAACACGTTGCCTATAGAAACAGGCAATGCATTCGCAGTCCCCACTCTCCGATCGCCTGCCATGGAGGAAGAGGGGCAAGAAAGTTTCAGCATTGTAGGACACGACCTCTTCAGCTACAACACCTTGCATGCATGGCATATTGTGGGGAGCAGAAAAGATTTCTGCATGTAAAGCAACGGGGAGGAAATTGTGTCAAGCAGATAGACGGTTCTCAGACTTCTCCCCAACAACATACGAAATACACAAGTTTTTTCCAGTCCCGAGGTAAATCGGGATGAAAGTAGAATTCAGCCCAACTAACGTCTACAATCTCAGGCTACAAAAAAAGCAAAGCAGGCCCACATCTGATGTCTGTCTGCGATGTGATGAACTAAATGAGATTAGTGTAGTGACAGGAGGAGGGAGTGAAAACCCACCTCAGCTGCAAGATCCGAGCAGGAGGAGGAGTGGCTGGCAAAACCGGAGGAGAGTTTGGAGGAGGCAGAGGTAGGAGGATGCGGTGGCTGAGATTTTGCTGTCGCCGTTCGGCCCACCTGGTTTCGATCCGCCAATGGGGCTCGCACCTGACTGCGGGATCGAGTTTGCTGACTGGCTGAAGCTGTTTTATTGGCAGTAGCCGCAGCCTTGGTTTCAACCTGCGACTTCGTTAGACGCTCTGAGATATAAAAATAGGGAAAACATTCAACTAAACAGACTTCATTGCGTCTAGGAAAAACAGGCCAGACGGCGACTTTGTTGTGTGCGTTTGTGTATGTACGCGATAAGAATGAGTGAAGCCGTAACTTGTAATTTGGGGATCGAGTGACGATAAGCTGAAGAGGCTCCGTAGACTCATTTGAAAACACTCAGCAGATGGCCCAACAACTTCTTCCCTTCCCTTGTCAAGAGGTGTGTCGAGTGGTGAAGCCACTGTAAATAATGTCTAATAATATGCGGTGTCCACCAACATCGCAATTGTTTGCAAAGATAAATGGTCAAACTGGCCCAAATTTTCGTGATCGAAACAATCTCTGAAAAAAACTAACACACCACAGCATCAGTGGTGAGGCTCGAAATTAAATTTAAGACTTCAACTTATTTGCAGCACTGACGACTCCCCCTCCATTAGTATCAACTAACGCTCTCCTCTCTCCTCCTCCTCCTCCCCTCCATAAAAACAGAGGAAAGAAAACACCAACCTCTTTGTGTCGTCCCATCACGACCCTCTCTTGTATTCCTTCTTTTGGACTGCGATTTCCCCAGGTCTCGCAGATCTGCAGCTGAAGTGGAACGCTTGACAACGTCGACACGACTGTTGGTGCCGAAGTTGTTCTTTGGTAGGGGTGTCTTTCTGACTGCCCGGGGCTTCGCTCTGGGTGTTGTCTGGGAGCCCTTAAGTGGTGGCAGAGTGGCTGTTCTGGTAGGTTTGTTCACAGCATCACCATTCTCACCAATGTCAACAAAGACGGTGACCGTGTTTGCATTATTATTGGTGGACTTCCTGCCGGCGGATAAACCTCGAGACTTATTACGTGTTTTTGCCTGACAGGATGCGTCAGCTAGGTGTGGAAAACATGCTACTTGCAAGTTGTGAGTAGAAGTTTAATTGCGCGTTAAAAATTTGCGTATTCAACTAAATTCGTGAGCCGCTACTTAACCTGCCTCTAGAGGGCAAGAATATATGATGAAACTCACTCGCATCTGACATCATGGCGATGTTAGTAGCAGTGGTCGAAGTACCATCCAAACTCATTCGCTCTACCAGAGTGGAAGAATCCGTTTTTCCTCCATTCAACGACTTGTCCTCTCTACTTGCCTCGTCTGCCTCAGTTGAAACGTCCACTAAGACCTCTACTGCAGTTGTTCCAACAGTGTTTGTGGAGCAGTACCGAACCACTGGCTCTGTGTTAGTTGAGGCAATACTGGAATCATAGAAGTCATTTTCAGACGAGGGAGAGGAGAGGGAGGAGGAGGCGAAATTAGGTGAGTGAGATGGACTTGTGGCAAGTGAAGTCATGCTGAGTTTTCTCTCGGCAACACGAGAAGCGTAGACGCTGGCATCCACTTTGGTGTGCTCCTCGGCCAATGTTCCAACTGAAGATGACGTCCTCGCTGCCGCTGCCGCCGCAGCAGCCTCTAACGCCTCGATCTCGCGTTCCATGCGTACCAACTCAGGCAATTCTGCCAGTCCAAAACGACTAGCTAGACGAGCCAGATCCATTAAGGTGAGGAGGACGTTCTTTTCCTCGGTTCGGTTTACTAAAGGTACATACGTATGTATGCAGATCTCAAAAGGGGACATCAGGAATTGGTGCATTGATGGGAACGTTGAAAGCAGTTCCAACGCCGCTGCCTATCACTATTGTAAGCACTGTCACTGACCTCGAACAACTGTCATTCACTCTGGGTGACGGTAGGTCTACGCAAAATTAGAAGAGGCAACTTTGAAAACTGCTGTGACTTTGAACATAGGAAGGCGAGGCGTGATTGGTCCACTCCAGCCCACATTAATTCATGGGATGCATCCATTCGGAAGTTGAGCAATGTTTTGTCACCAAACCTGGCCATGAAGGTTAGGAGGTAGAAAACTTACTCCAGAGGATGAGAATGACGTGCCTAAGACTCGTCCTTTCCTCTGTCCTTAATCAGCGTAAAGGAGAGGTTAAAATAACCGCCCTATTAATGTACACCTTCATTATGCAGAGGGAACAAGCTACGAAAATTGGGGCCTTGGTGATAACCACAAAGGCGTGCGTCATCGGTGACGCAACTTTCGCCTTCCTTTAACACCTACTCTGGAACTCAGAAGAGACTAGCCTTACTAAGGGTTAAGACACCTCCGGCAAATTCGCTATATTTGAGCAGAAAAGGGAGGCTGAAATGCCACCACTTCCATTTTCCACTACAGCAGAGCGTGTAGAAAAGACAGTTACGGAAAGTTGTAAAAGGAAAGCCATTAAGGAGGTGGCAATGCGGTGAGGCAGTTTGGGGCCCAGTTTACACATATCCTGTCTGTTTTTCAAAAACGCATCACAGAGAATAAACGGGTCTAAGATGCAATTGTTTAGCAATCAAAATGTGAATGCTTGTGTCTAGAATTCACCATGCACACGCACAGAGGCACATCAAAAAAGCCCAAGCTTTTTTGGATCAGGTGGAAACTCATGTGTGTGTGTGTGTGTGTGACGTGAGCACTTAGTTGATCATTCAAATCACTGCTTCCACTCTAAACGTTTTTCCACCTCGTGCCTGAAAGTGAGAACAAAAAAGCACTCTTAAGCCTGGAGGCCTTTGGCAGATCACCCGTCAGAGCATGGGATGCAGCTGCCCTGCTTTCCCTACAACTTTACTCTCCGCCCGCCTGGATGTGAGTAAAGACAAATTGCCCCATTACTCGCTCACATTTCTACCTCTTCCACCCAATGTCATTCCTGTCAGATCGTGTATCCCGAAGTTGGTGAGGCGAGATGCGAGATGATCTCAGGTCGACTCAAGCTGTCCAACCGAGCTAACAGCTTTCCTCGCAAAGGGTCTTGCCTCTCTGGATGGAAGTGGAGGTGACGCCAAAACTCACCTTCATTTGCAATACTTTAATAAAATTTGTTGTGATGCCACTGGACACAAAAGCAATCTGTACTTTAGCAAGCACCAGCAGAATTAATTATTTTTTTACTATTTTTTTGCAACAAAAAACCCCTATCACACTGAGGTAAAGCTCATCCACTCGCCGCCTCCCCCCTCCCCGGGCATTAAGTGCAGTCGAGGTGAAAAAAAAAATTGAAGTGAAGTGGAGTGAAGTGTTAAACTCAGACCCTAGCAATGGTAACTAGGGCGTAAAACAACACCTAGTCATAGATGACGTAACCTTTTGCCTTCCTGACTGCCTCCATCTGTCTTGGGTAATGATAAAAACAGACCTACCTTTGCCTCTTTTGGGGCGTGGTGAGGGGAGGAAAGCCCAATGTGCATTACTCACCTGGAGTAGCAACTTGGCCGTTGTGCTCACACAATCAGGCACACACTGAGACCTTGACCTAGAGGGAAGTTGGAGCTCACCACGGTCTAGTTGTCTGGATTCAGTGAATTCACAAAGTTTCATATTGATGGGGAAATAAGTAGTATAGGCCGATTTCAATGAAGTTCTACCAGAGGCTATGAAACTCATCCTTTCGGGATTTCAGAACGGAAGGTTAGTCTACGACTCAGGACGAGTAATAGCTAGGCAATACACTCAACCGATGAAGCAGCATCCTAAACGTAGTTTCTCCGTAGTTGGTTGTTGTTTTTTACAATCAACTTGTAAATGAGGTAGATCAGGTGATTGATCACGCCTTGTGACCGCAACAAAGACATCAGAGACCGATTTACCACCTGCGATAACACCACCCTGAGGAATGTGAGAGCGTGAGCTACAGTAAAGCAGTAGAGTGTTTTCCATGATGTAGGCGATTGTGTCCCGTTGAAAAGAAACGAAACCACTCATGACGTTGACGCACAAATAATTTCAGAAGTCAGTCAAGCATGCAGACCAACTACTTGAGCGTTAAGAGCTGCCAAATAAATACACATATAAGTGGCTTAGAGTTAAAATAAGTGAGAATTCCACAGGGAATAACTCCAGACAGGAGTACAAGTCATGTTGGAGGCAGGAAATGAGAGCAGATCTGCAATTCGATCAAACACACACATTTGAGGGTCCAGTGAAATTGAGATGCATCACCGGAGGGTCAGACAGGAGAGGAAAAGCGATGTGATAGCACTTCGACCTTCGCATCCATTTACACAACCATACACAACACAATAACACTACACACACAAAGGCGTCTAAGGATTTTATAGCCACAGGAATGAAGTCTACAAAATCCATTTCGCACAAAGTATTGGGAAGAGCCTCAATGAAGCCTCGGTTGAGCCGAGCATACAAGCACAAAGTTCAACACTTAATACCACACTCAACTTCCCCATTAAGTAAGAGCCTCAAACAAGACAAACATTCCAAATATGTATACGTGTCAACCGCTACTTAGAGCTAAGAGATCACTTGATCACGTTTAGTGGCACCACTGGCTTCGAAGGGTGTGGTTGACACACACACACACAGCAGATAAGCAAGCACAAATTAAGACATGGCTAGACAGGACGCATTGGTAGGAGAACCATGACTACAGTCTCACAGATCGAGACTATGGCAAGTGATGGAGCCTACCAGCAAGGAGGCAAATCAACCCTTCAAGGTGAAAGCAGTGGCTGCCGATGAAGAGGAAGTGAGTTCGGACAATACCGAAATCACCTCAAAAGAGTATGTCGATATTTTCCAGTCTGGCTGTGCTTATACAATCACGAAAGGTCTGACATCAAATAGGCTCGAAGTGGACTCCTAGGCGATGCAACTTGCCTATCGGCATCCAACTTCACTATAGGAGGACAACACTCGACCACTGACACAACGCCATTGTTACCCACTAAGAAAAAAACAACAATGTCCAAGACGACGATCGCAGACAATAACGGGACAAGAATTCTGATGAATATTTAGCTATGCTAGCTCATCGGTCGACGAGATTTGTACTTTTGCCCTGTAGCATAGGATACCACCCATCTATGGGACTGGTAATTAAGCATACTTTCGCAATGATACGCCCTACTACAACCGCGTTAAAGGCTTGAAGCACTAAAATCTAGCAACACTGCTTTAATCCTCACTACAAACACTCCCATTAAGCAAAAGCAATTGGTTGTGGAACACCAAAGGAGAAAAAGTGCTGTACCGATTTATGGCTTAAGTAAAGTACGTCTTGCCTTGAAGTGGGTTGGAAATAAGGTCTTATAGTAACATGGAATCCGTTTCTAACAGTCCATAATCTCTACCTCTCCGTTCCTCCTTCCCTCCCTCCCTCCCTCCCTTCCTCCATGCACCAACTGAAGAGCAAAGTGGATCCCACACACCTTTACTATACTCACACCTCCCCACCAATACCATCCCATTCAACACTCCACACAGGACACCACTCAACCACCTCAACACCACACCATCCCACTTCTCCCGCACAGACGGACGGACAGCCTCACAGTCCCAACGCCCCACTCATGACCCCAACGCTACGATACACGACAAAACAGACATCACACCTTGCACATGAAACGAACATCTATAATGCCCACGTGTGTGTGTGTGTAGAGAGGTGGTGGAGGTGCAGGAACCTCAGTCGGACAGGTCAGCCGTGCACACAACTGGAACGACACCTGACACACCA